GGATCTACTTTGTACCTATGTAATATCTCCATACTTATTTTTAGGGCTAATTACTGTTAAAGATGTAAAAAAATGTACCTACGTGTTTTAGAGTCATTGTTCAAGCTAATGTAAAAAAAAAATTCAATTAAGTTTCCAATAAGGGCCATAAAGATAGAGAAACCTCTAGTTGGTTTTCGATACGTTCTTTGACGTTAAAAGAAACATAAAAGATATATAAATAAGAGAGGCGAGATGAAAAATGAATCAGACGTAATGGAAGTGAACTGGTTAATTTTTTATAGCACAATAAGCGATTTTTGTTCCGCCGTATTCCCCCTTAATAGATTTTTATGGGTAATATACCCTAAGTCAAACATCTCAATATAACAATCATTAATAATAAAGTCGATGGCGGGGATGTTTGAACGAAACAGTTAATGTTTCACAGAGAAATGGAAAAGGAATTCAGCAGCAGTATAAAGAAATACACAGGATGTTTACTAAAAAATAGACATATTTTTTTTTATTTTCTCTAAAACGGTGCATTTCAGCGACACGCAACAAGGATTAAAGCAAATCGAATGCTATTTTAAAATAATTATCATTTTAAAAAATATCGATCCTTAAAAAATCAGAAGGGAACGATGCAGTGGCAAGGACGCTCAGAACGCCTTGTATATTTGTAGCAAAATACAAGCAGACAACAAGTTTATAACACCAAAAACCTGCTTTTCCAAAATTTTAGTAAAATTATAAAAATAAATAAATTGTAGTAAAAAGTAGAAATAAAAAAGCTACTTTATCGGAATATGGCCCATTCCTTAGTAAACACCCTGTATATGCTGTAGGTATATTAAAAATTGAAGTTAAAAATAACTGATATCATGATTATTTTGTCATGTAGTGTAGGTAATTTGTCATTTTTTTTTAAATATTCCATTTAAGTTATATATATTTTACCTATTGTATGTGTATTTTTTTTTTCATGTTTCCTTTGGACTTTTGCTCCGAAAACGATGAAAATATTCTGCAGGATGTCACATCTCGCCCATTAAGTATATTCCCTTGTTGGTTTATTTTAGAATGTATTTGATAAATAAACATTTATTTCACAAATTCCCAGCAAAGTACCTAGGTCACGAAGGAATTTGATATTCTCTCTCTATATTTTCGCTGAGAAAACATTTAAATTATATTTATATAGGTACCTAAACTTTCTTTATGTTTCAAAAACAAAGAACAAATATTTTTATTACATAAAATAGTAATTTATGGCAGCAAGAAAACATAATTTAGGTAGGTAGGTATATTTAAGTTGTCAAAAATTGTCAGGTAATATAAAACACAGTAAGTTATGACCGAATAAAAGCTGTGCTAGTTATTATCTATGCAAATTTTTTAAAATGCCAAAATAGCTGCTATGAACTATAACCCTTTTTTTACGGTATCACCTCACACACCTCTTCTTTCCGAAATGTATTTTTCAATTATTTTTTCGATTTAACGCACCGTTTCCGAGTTATACGTCCTTTATACTATAACACGTCACACACCTCTTGTTTCCAAAATTCATTTTCGACATACGGACTTCGGACCTTTTGCATTCAACGCAGAAGGAACATAAAGAACCCGGGGGGGTGTTGTTCAGATTTTTCAATTATTTTTTTGGTTCAAGACACCGTTTCCGAGTTATAATAGTATATTACACCACAAAGGCCGAAAGTTGAATTTTCGGCCCTGCGCATCATGATGCCCGAGACGAAGCCGAGCAGGATCGAGATTTCAAGTTTTGGCCCGTGTAGTGTATACGATTTTTCTTCATAGCCGGTCGAAAGTAGGTTATTAATTTTACTTTTTTTAACTTTAGAGGTAGCAACAGTAATGACAGCGGTTAACAATTTGTTATAGCAACATAATAAATAGTCCCTAGTTACGAGTATAAATACGCATGAGAAATTCTTTCCTCCCGCCGTTATAGAGGGCGCGCGTGTACTTCTCACAGGGCGTAAATGTTAAACTTTCGTCCTTGCTATTAGGGACGAAAGTACGTACTTTCGACCGAGGTATGAAGAAAACACTTTTTTATCCTATGATGTCACACACCGTTGGTCCCGATTTTTTTTGGTATGCGGGTTTTGACGTTTTTTACTCGTTCACCATGGGAGATTTTTGAGATTTTTTGATATTAGAGTTTAAGCAAAAACTGTTTTTTTTTTCTTTCATATATTGTGACACCCCGCTCTGCGTCACCCACCGAGTGCTCTACTCAGAACCAAGGGGAAATTTGTTTATATTTCCAGCCATTTCCGAGTTACGAGCAAAAGCCGTTTTTCTTTCTTCTACTGTGTGACATAGATCGATAACGAAGGCTAAAAAGGCCACGCGCTCTACCCCACGTTCCCTCCCTAGGTGTCCTGAAATTGCTGGGGAGACTCCTGAAGTAGCAGAGAGAGAGAGAGAGGAGAAGCTCTCTATGAGGACAGAGTCACTCTATCTCTATCGCACACTATAACTCTATCTCTCGCACACAATCAGACAAAAACGACAGAAATTAACCTTCTTTTAAAAATACACGGGATTTATCATTATTAGAATAACCCATTTTTATTTAAAAAATTTTTAAAATTTCAATGGGTTATTCTGATGAAAAATAAAACATAATTAATTGTATTATACAAATAACAATAATGTGCAAAAAGTTCTTCAGGAATATTGGCAAATTTATTTTGGAGGAAGAATCCCGTCAACGAACACTAAAAAATATTATTAGAAACCTTAGGTGGCCAGAAAACAGCCCCGATCTCATTGTCAGTCCTTTAGACATATTTTTTTAAAGACCTGACAATTTACAAGTATTGAAAGAAAAATACAGGACGAAATGCTTGATAATTTTGAATTTGTTTTTGAAGCAATTAATAGTAAATTAAAACATATTTTCAACTGTATTATCACAATTACTTGCATGTTGATTTGTAAAAATTGTAGGTATTTTAATGTTATTTCGTTTTTAGTTATTCTCCTTATGTTGTTGTAAAGGTTAGTTATAAAAAGCGTTGTTTGTTATTTTCATAAGGATGAATTTTAATTTTTTTTAATGATTTTTTTTATTTTAAACATATATATTTTATGCCAGCAAATTTTGATGTCAAATGAAATAAAGGAAAAGTCGTACATTTGTATTTAAAGTTTCTTTCTATCTTTAATTATTAAACCTATAAGTGGATGTCAAAATACAAAAAAAAAACCTGTACCTACATTCCGCGACGTACTAATAACTTGTATATTAAATAAATTTATCGTCATCATCAAATATTAAAAAAATTATATTACAAGCTGTTTAAAATATTTTATTACGAATTTTGTTTATTTGGAAATATATTTTCTGCAGTATTTCAATAGTAAAAAATGAAAATAATAGGTAGCTAATTAACGAAATTATGATTAAATAACTTAATTGTAACACCGCTGCAGAATATCATATGAAACTACATAGATATTCGTTGATTCTTTAAAAACATTTTTATCAATACTTACATCATACATTTAAATAAATACAGTAACGCAAAAAACAGATATTGATTAAAAAAGTGTACAAAAGAAATCCGTAAGTACGCCTGGCAACATTACCAAAGTCTTGTTTATATGTTGCTAGGATACGCGCAGGTATGCGGACCGCTGCATTTGATTCTTCCTAAAATTCTGCTGGTGGTGTACTCTACCGGCAATTCGGAAATTTAAAACTGCTGGCCTATACCAGTAGCGGTCTGTGGCGATAGCTACTTTGTCTGTGGTTGAACTGTTTTTCAATATATATTGGACTTTTTTGGACAAAAAAGGTATACTTATTGAATATGGTTAAAGCCAACTGTTGAGGAGATATTTTTAATTTAATAAATTAGTGTTACGGATTTATACCTCCACGAATACCAAGGTACAGACACTTTTGTTAATAAATTCAGAACGCATTGCCTTACAGTACCTATTAGTTGTGTATCTGTATTTCAAAATTCGACCAAAAGAGGGCGCAGGAATCAACTGAGACAACATTATTTCTCCTGTTTTAGATTTACCTTACTCTTTTTACGTATTATTAGCATGTGTGAATACACCTGTTGCGTAATTTCTATTTAATTATTTTTTCGGTGTCTTTATTAAAAAACACATTGTCTTGTGCATATATTTATTTTGACTAAAATTATAGTAATTATTATGAAAAAACCATTTTTTATGTTTCACTTTGACACCCTGTATCTTTTTTATTACGCGATTTGGAATATAGGTATGTTAGATTAAATTGACTTATTCAGTGTAGGAAAGTACCGATGGTCTATCAGAAGTTACGTGAGAGCGATAAAGTAAGCCATAGAAATCCATGTGATAGACAAGGATGGCTATAATGAAGGCGTCTAATCGTCAGCCCATTTCGCCCTTCCACAAATAAGAAGTGGATCTTATTTGTGGATTGGCGAAACGGGCAGTGACAAAGAGAAGCCTTCATTATAGCCATCTTTCTCTATCGCATGGATTTCTATGGCTTACTTTATCGTTCTCACGTAACTTCAGATAGACCATCGGTACTTTCCTACCCTGTTTTCACCCAAGGAATCTCTGGTTCATTTGTGCCCCTCTATTTAAATACACCCTGTATTTACCAATTTCTCTTTGTCATAGAAATTTTACTAATCCATTTACAGTACGACACAAATGCATAGATCACAAAGCTTACATCATGAATCGAAGGTTTATAAATTTGGTGGAGACACCAAGGAGAACAAAAATACGACACTGCCTACTACGATTTTTTGTGCAGTATTTTAATGTGACATGTTATCCCAAAATATTTAAATAACAAATGTTTTCAATTTCTTATAAAAAGTAGACAACATAACAAACACGTTTCCTTTTAAAATGTATAGAGTTCTATAAAAGTACAGTTTAACGATTTTACCGTTTACCGGTTTCGCCGAAAGATAGCAGCATCTCTCTAACACCATAGAAAATTAGGAATACAGGAAATTTCTAACCTCATTTATTCAGAACTTTTGTCAAGTATCTGAAAGTAATTTAATATATCAACAAATAATGTCCATTTCAAGATCTCTACCACAAAGCAAAGAAGCTTTGCTAAAATCTTACAGAACTAGGCTGAAGGATGATGTGAAAAGTATGCTGGAAAATTTTGAAGGTATACCTACAAAGAAATCTTAAAGGTAATACAATTAAAACCATCTACTACTTGCAGAAATTGTAAAATTATCCAAGGGTGAACATGACACACAACTTTCAAGAATGACACAATGTGAACAAGATACATATGAAATGCATGTCCGAGCTGCAAACATCGTACGAGCAGGGGAGTCTCTGATGAAATTGGTTTCAGACATTAAGCAGTATCTTATTTTGAATGACTTTCCTTCGGTCAATGAAGCAATTACACAAAACTCCAAGTTGTTCAGGTAAATCATAATCGTTGAAGTATTTCATTTGGATATATCGATTAGATTTAGATTTTGAGTCATAAACAAAACCATAAACAAAGTGAATAAAGAACACTCTGAGTGAGGTACAGGAAATAAAGCGACCACCTAGAATCTGTTAAATTATTGATTTTGCAATTATTTTCAGTATTAATTACAAGTTTTACTATCTTTTCTAGGACGAAGCAAGCAGAATGTGATCAAAAATTAATGTCTTTGAGGGATGATATGGCAGCAGATTTGTATGATTTAGAAGAAGAATATTATAGTAGTATAAATAAGTAGTTAGGAATTCGATTTAGATAGTGTAATATATATTTTTTTCGATATCTTTAAGAACCAAATGGTATGTATGTAAGCATTTATTTACTCAAAACACTTATTAAAAACAGGAATAAAGTTTATATGACTTTTGAGCCTTTTCCATGAAACTAAACATAAGAAATAAATAAAGTTGCAGTTATATACTTATTGAACTTGTTACTTTTGAAATTGAAAATTTGAAAAATATTTAAAACGTTTAACAAAACTGTCAGTTTTTCTTTCACATAAATCTTACCTTGTCGAAAACATTCTACGAGAGTTGATGTTTGCACACATACAAATTTATACTTAGGTACAGCATATTGCGAATTCGATATAAAAATTTAGATGTGCGTATCGCCAGTGTAAAATGTAGATGGAAGTGGTAGAACTATTTAACACCATTAATTTTATAATATATTACTAAAATGATCATATTACGAATTGTAATAATTTATATTGCCAAAACATGATGATTTTATGCTTTGAAAATGTTAAATTATCGAAAATGTCATCAGTTTACGTGGAATTTCAATGTAAATCTCAACAAAATAAGTTACCATATTTATAACCAAAACTAAGGAAATCAAATCTTATCTCAGTCTTCCAGTGTATTTACTGCTACCGAATAGTGTCAGCTATTTTGTACAGAAGAAAGGTAGATTTAAAAATACATATCTAGGCTGTTTTTTATTGCATTTTATACATCATTATTCTCATTTTATATTTGAAAATAACCAGGGGACATATTATAGTTATTAATACTTAGCTATTTTGAATAGTGTTTAATTAAATTCCTTTGTTTTTGTAGAAAAATTTTTTTTTCTGGAAATGGCACTCTTGAGCAGACAACAACCAACACATAACATCTATTTGTGAGAATTTTAGGTCCACGTTTTAATATAATATAATTTGAATTAAGCCCGACAAAAATTAAAAATAAAGAGGTTACAGTCTAGGTAGAAGACCCTGTATTATCCATTTTACAGATTTTGGTTTGTTTTATTGAGCCTTGAAAGTTATGACAATGCACTCTACTTGTAACTGACTGTTATACTTCTTCACTTTTGCTATTTACTCCCAGATGGCGGTGTAGTAAAAAATGTTTCGAATTATACCTACAAAATTGAATTTGAGAAAAGAAAGAATATATAAAAATGGTAATTTTCTATATTACATATCTCATTTAGGATACATTAAAAATTTTGTCTTTAATTTGAAAATAACCAGACAAAAATTGCCTTCTAGTTATTTTTGTTATCCCTGAAAATATATAACAATACTTTTTTACTCTATAAGGCTTTATTTTAACTTATAACTTTTAAATATTATCTGAAAACGGTCTCAAAACGGCAAAACATCAAGTTAAAAAACTTCTAACAAAAATATCGACGGATGAACAAGTAGATGTACATGTTCCCTCCAAATATATATACAGTGATTTAAAAAAAATACTTAAATATAAGCAGCAAGGTGACTTTAATCAAACTTCAGATAGGTATTAACAATTTTCAAAAAATGTTACATAATAATGAGGAAACAATAGAACATTTTTCAGTAAATAGTATACAGGGTCCGCATTTTATGCAGGAAACTTCGAGGACAGGTAGATCTCTTTAAAATAATAGGAGTTTGCCTTATAAACATAGGTCTGGAACGGCTTCGTTTTAGATATACAGGGTGTTGAAGTTTTAAAAAATATACAGGGTGTCTCACATTTAAATAGCAGGACTTCAGGAATCAGTAGAAGACCTCATTTTGAGTCTAAAAGTTCCTATATATATGGGTCCTAAAACGCTTTGTTTCTGAGATACAGGGCGTTCAATTTTATTTTTGTTTTATTTATTTATTTTTTAACTAAATAACCGCTGACAAAAAAAATCATCATGTTGCGGCGAAAGACTTAGTATTTAAGGGCAAATAATTTGACACAGAAAATCATCGCATAATAGTTCCAGTGGTGGAGATAGAGGGGTCTCTATGCATATTTTTATAAAAAAAAGTATAGCCGATTTGATATTTTGCAAATGTTTTCGAAAAATATGAAAGAGCATTCAATTTTACCCAGAAAAGGCCCTCTTGTCCAAAGTCGATAGGAGGTGGCGTTTTCAAGAAAAACCGAAAATACTGTTTAGAAGTCAAATTAAGAAAAACCGAAAATACTGTTTAGAAATCAAATCAGACTTGAAATGTCATTCTAATATTGACATTTGCGCTTATTTTATTATAGTTTCTAATTGTGTGTAGAGTATTAAAAAAAATTGCAACAAATTCAAAATGCCGTTTAAGTTTACGAACCAAGAATACGCAGATATTCACTTCATATACGGGTTTGCCAATGGGAACTCGGCAGAAGCTGCTAGGGAATATCGGAGACGATTTCCTAATAGAAGACAGCCGCATCCACACGTTTTTATTAATGTTCATCAACGTTTCGCTAATGACGGATTGAATCTGGTCCATAGGGATCGCAACATAATTAACGTTAATATTGGCAGAAATAGGAGGAATCAGCGAATCTTGCACGAATTTGACAGAGATCCCACGACGAGTACCAGAAAAATTTCCAGGATTATTGGTGTTTCCAGGTGCACTATTTCTAGAACATTAAGACGAGATCATAGACATCCCTACCACTTACAACCTGTTCAGGGTTTACGTCCGGGTGACGAGGAACATAGAATAGCTTTTTCTCGGTGGATTCTTAACTCAATTGAAAACGACGGAAATTTTTTATCACACATATTATGGACCGACGAGTCATGTTTTACTCGTCGAGGTGTGACAAATTTACACAATCAGCATGAGTGGGCACATGAAAACCCGCATGCAATCAGACCACGAAATTTTCAGCACGAATTTAGTGTTAATATTTGGCTCGGCGTTTATAACAATTGTCTTTTCGGCCCTTACATCTTACCTCAACGACTGAATTCTGCGAATTTCTTAGAGTTCTTAGAGACCGAGAGTGCCAACATGTGGGAGGAAATTCCTCTGAATTTAAGAATGCGAGCATGGTTTCAACTTGATGGCTGTCCAGCTCATTTTGGCCGAAATGTCAGGAACTGGTTGAACACCCACTTTCCCGAAAAATGGATTGGCCGCGGGGGTATCGTTGCATGGCCTCCCCGATCCCCTGATCTGACACCCCTAGATTTTTTCCTCTGGGGTTTTATTAAAGAGAGAGTTTATACCACTACTGTGGACACAAGGGATGAACTTATTCGTCGGATTCGGAACGCATGCAGTGAAATCAGAGACAATAACTTAATTCAAATGAGACGTTCTATTCAGCGTCGGTGTCAGTTATGTATCGAAGAAAATGGTTTACATTTCGAACATTTGCTTTGATGTAATATGGTTTTCGTTATTTATTTTTGTATTTATTTTCATTTAATTAATTAAAAACAATTTTAACCGAATTTTTGAACTACATATTTAATTTAGTTGTAACACAATGTTTAAAAATTATTATTTGACTTCTAAACAGTATTTTCGGTTTTTCTTGAAAACGCCACCTCCTATCGACTTTGGACAAGAGGGCCTTTTCTGGGTAAAATTGAATGCTCTTTCATATTTTTCGAAAACATTTGCAAAATATCAAATCGGCTATACTTTTTTTTATAAAAATATGCATAGAGACCCCTCTATCTCCACCACTGGAACTAATATGCGATGATTTTCTGTGTCAAATTATTTGCCCTCAAATACTAAGTCTTTCGCCGCAACATGATGATTTTTTTTGTCAGCGGTTATTTAGTTAAAAAATAAATAAATAAAACAAAAATAAAATTGAACGCCCTGTATCTCAGAAACGAAGCGTTTTAGGACCCATATATATAGGAACATTTAGACTCAAAATGAGGTCTTCTACTGATTCCTGAAGTCCTGCTATTTAAATGTGAGACACCCTGTATATAGGAACTTTTAGACTCAAAATGAGGTCTTCTACTGATTCCTGAAGTCCTGCTATTTAAATGTGAGACACCCTGTATATTTTTTGTTTTTATCTCAGGAATCTATTAACCGATCTCAATAAAATTTGGTACAAATAATGTACGATAGTAGGCCTTTCATTCCCTAAAATATGAGTTCTAAGGGTTTAACCAGTGGTGTACAACTGGACAGGGGTCACCCCCTTTTTATAAAAAAAACCTACGCGACTGTATTTTTTACAAGTTATTGTAACGGATTTATGTTCTAATGCACTAAATTCGTAAAAAAGTTTACTTGAATTTTTTCCTGAAAGTTCACCATTTTCAAGTTATTCACACAAATACAATCCCCTTGTGGCAGACCCTTCTAATCATAATATTACAAAAATATTTATGTTTATGCTCAAAAGTAAGTGCAATTTGTAAGCACATCAACAAAATTCTTTCCACATCACTTGTGAGGTAGTGTTCCTGGTGTGTTTTAGTTTTTCCTGGAGGCATTATCTTTACAAATAAGAACAATTTGAATCAAAATAATAATAAAAATACATTTACCAAGCAACAACAACTAAACAAGAAACAAAATTAACGTTACGTATTTACAGCAATTGTTTAAAATGCGAACCATTTACATCGATACATTTCTGACATCTATTAATTGAACGCTAATATCATGTGGTGGTTTTCTTTTAATTCATTACGCTGCAGTAGCTGTGGTCTAGTATATATTGGAGTAAACTTTTCAGGTGTCACCCCAAACATAGAAGTCCAGGGAGTTTAGATCTGGCGATCTGGCTGGCCAAGACACTGGACCCTCTGCACCGTTATAGTTGACATTGGCATTTGGTCTTCTACCTATCCACCATCTCATATAATTTTCATTAAGCCATTGTTGTATTATTCTCCTAAAATGCGCAGGAGTGGTGCTCCTGTCCACTTGTATCCAGTTATTTTGTCGTATATTTAATGGAACATCCTCTAATAATTCAAATAGATGGTTTTCTAGAAAGTTTAATGTCTCCGAATTTCATGAGGATTTTCTTGTGACCAAATATTCAGATTGTGAAAATTCACTACCCCTCGCCTTGTGAACGTAGCCTCATCGGTCCAAAGTATTTCTAGTAAGAATTCAAACAACCACTGATAAAAATTCAGGCGTCTCTGCATCTCC